TACCACGCCCTTGACGTGTTGTATCACCTACCCGGCCGGATGACCATCAAACAGGCGCGTGTCGGTCGCGTGCGCGCGCATCCTGGCCAACTAGAAGGTACCCAAGTGCCCAATCATCTACAAACGCATGGCTTGTCGCCGTTCTACCACGCCCTCCCAGCCAAAAATGAATTGTCGAATTGATGTCGATCCGATATCGACGCCGTCGAAGATCCGTCGACCTCGATATAGTGTCGAAAAAGTTCGTCTTTCGAGGAGTGTACCGATGACCTAGGATATCCTTTCCAACCCTATTTCTGCGTTGTATTTTCGGTTCCCCCCCGAATACTACTTTGTTAAACCTCTTCACAACTGATCGATATCGATTCTCCTTCGATATCCCGTCGAAATGTTTTTCTGATTAAAACATGTATGTGGATTACACTTTTTTACCTGACGGGCAAGTATTTTGGGCAGGAAACATTTTTCTCTCAGTTTATTTTGTTCCCAATCAATATTACGAATATTTTAAAGTTTCTAGTCGCGTACTGTTCGCGGAACATTTTGAATCTACCCGCGTAGTACCAACGTAGTAGACACTTCTCTAACAGAACTTTCTCTGGTGTTTTTCGGCACTTCGTTTATTGGTTGTACTGAAGATACTATTTATTTAATATTATAAGACTGGTAAGTACGTGTTACGTTTTTTCAGTAGTGTTCTAAAGCATTTTATGTAATTACTTATTTATGTGCATGTTGCTCGTACTGAATACGCCATAACGAACTTTCTGGAAGGCAGTGACTGCTCGGAGTTTGGACGGGGCGGAAACGGAGGAGTTGTTGTTGTCTTGCCGGCCGGCGTGTTACGTAACTTACGTAATTATCCAAGGTAATCGGGCATTTCTTACCTTGTAATTGTGGATTTAATTATCTCCATTAATGATTAGAAGTCTGTACTTTGTTGTTGTCAACATTTGAATAGGCTCCACCCTGTATTTTGTGTCTTTTCCCGTGTGCAACGTAAGGGCCAATGTGCTCGGCAAGAGCGGGTACGCTGCCTCTGTCTAGCATCGTTTGTTAAACATTTTGATTGCGGGATTACCTTGTTTACACTGTTAACCGACAATAAGTTAATATCGTTTCTTCGGTTTTTCACGTTTACGGGTAAAGAGTCCGGTTTGGCATCTTAACCTAAACGCCCGCCAACTTGTAACCGCCACTTTCTGCTCAATCATTTTTTAAAGTTATTATTTGGGGATGTTATAAGTCATTTCGTAACCTTTATTAATGGTTATGATCTGTGGTGCATTTTCACTGATTGTTTAAATGTTTATTGACGCCTGGCTTTGAAGCTTGTCTGAGCCTTTTTTAACCCTGCCCTTCCTTTTTGTTTGTTTAGCCTTCAACAGCAGACCCAGTGATTGATTTGTGATGGCAGCAATGGACAGTCTACCATCAAAACCAGTAAGTTTCTCTTAATTTTTTATTGTTGTTTTTCTGAGTGTCTTCAGGATGTCGGCAGCTTTGAGGAGGACCCTTCATCGTCAGGCTGTGAGGACTGTCGCAAAGAGGCAAAGACTTGATGAGTTGGTGCAGCATATCTACGGGCCTAGACTTGCTGATCAATCCGGAAGTGACAGCAGTGACAGTGATTCCATTCCACTTCTTGATTGCCATGGTGATGTTATTGCTGATGACGAAGGTTCTGATGGTGTTGTTATTGCTGATGACGAAGTCCAACATGACGAAGTTTCTGATGGTGGTGTTGATGATCATGAAGATAGTGGTCGCTCGGATTCAGATGGCGTTGAAAGTGGTTCTAGTAGGGAGTCCAATGTTGACCACGAATCAAACAGTGGTGACGATGTTGAAAGTAATATGAGTGACGGTAACCCGCAGTTTCAGAACAATGAGGAAAGAGAGGAATATGTCATAGATGCTCTGCGTGAGTGGGCTCAGGAGCCAGGAGTCTTATCAATGTCGAAACTAGATGCTCTGTTGCACAAGTTAAAAGTTGTGTTTCCCAATATGCCACTGTCCTACACCACCCTTTTCCATTCAAATTATGAATTTGACATTTCAGAACTACCCTCTGGTGGAAAATTGTGGTACAAGGGATTTCGTGCCAATTTAGACCAGTTAGATTTGAAGGATTATCTTGTCAAGCACAAGAAAATAGTGTTCGATATTGGTATGGATGGCCTTCCTCTAGTTAATGTGAAGTTGTGGCCAATTTTAGCTTACTTGATTGATAAAGATAATGACCCCTTTATCATTGGAGTTTATCTAGGTTCTGAAGATCCCAAAGATGTAAATGAATTTCTGGAGAAGTATTGTGGTGAACTTAAGCATTTGCTTGAAAATGGATATAGGATTGGTGATGACATATATGAAGTGGAAGTGAGGAATTACATTCTTGATGCTCTTGCTCGTTCTTTTGTCAAGTGCTGTGTTCGTCATAATGGTCATGCTGGATGCGAAAAGTGCTGTGTCTGGGGCGAGTACATCAATAATAGAATGATTTTTGAGGACTTGGATGCCCCTCTTCGCACTGATGAATCGTTTAAAAAAAGAGAACAACCAAGACACCACAGAGGTGACTCACCTTTAGAAGATTTAAACACGCCTATGATCTCAGCTTTCCGGCTTGATCCTATGCATTTGCTTTGGGCAGGAGTTGTTAAGCGTCTCTTAGACTTCTGGTTGAATCAGATTGGACCATGGAAACTGCATTTTGAGATTGCTGGTCATATTTCATCTGTGTTTGATTTTCTCAGAAAATATTGCCCTGTAGATTTTAATAGGAAACCCAGGTCTTTGCATTATTTTAAGAGTTTCAAGTGCACTGAACTGCGGCGCATAGCTCTGTATGATGGCATCCTAGCTTTTAAAGATTTGATTGATACAAATATTTACAAGCACTTTCTTCTTTTGCATTGTGCAGTTTATATTCTCAGCAGCAAAAGTCTGTTTGCTGAATTCAGAGATTTAGCGATTGAACTTTTGAGAACCTTTGTCTCTCATTCACCTGCCATTTATGGCCATAGTTTTGTGGTCTACAATGTGCACTCATTAATCCATCTGGTTCAGGAGTGTGACAGAGGCCTAACGCTGGATGAGATTAGTGCTTTCAAGTTTGAAAATCAGCTTAAGACGATCAAGCAGACTTTGAGGTCTGGTTTGCATCATCTCCAACAGTTAGCTCGCAGAGATGCAGAAAAAAAAAGTCCTGTGGTCAAACTGTCTTCATCTAAAGCAGCTAATGTTGTTCTGTCTTTTAAGCGGCCTGGCTTTAACAATAGGGTTCCTGGTCAGCATTACCGGAGAGTAAAGTCTGGAAGATTGTTGCTGAAACTTGGGAAGTCTGACAGCTGTGTGTCATCTGTGCATGGTGACATCATTGTGCTGAAGGATATAGTACTGAGACAGAGAAAACTTTATTTAATAGGTAGAAAATTTCTAAATGTGGAAGATTTTTATGATTATCCCATACCCTCTTCTCAGCTTGGTATCCTCAAGGTTTCTGAGCCAGGGCATGAATTAGTAACACTTCGCCTTCGTCATATCAAAAGCAAATGTTATCTTATGCCAGATGGTGACAATTTTTTATGTGCTCCCATTCTTCATACCAGAAAATAGGTGTGATGTTCATTATTTCTGAGGCATCTTCAGGGTCTTGTTTCTGCTTGCAGTTTTTGGTGGTCAGATTCTATCCGACGTCTAAGGATCAGAATGAATACATGGAGGTTAGTTTGGCCAGTTGGTTGGTCGGTGATTTAGACGATTCGAAGAATGGCTATACAAGGTGGCCCCCAGATACCAAGCCGATTAGTCAGTTAGTGAAGAATCAGGCACCTTGTAATGAAAAATGGGACAAGTTCAAGGTGCAAGTAATGAAATATTATGGTAAGTTTATTCTATTTATTACTTTCATTATGGTATTGTTTTCAATTAGAATGATGTCACTTAAATCTCTTTTTAATTTCAGATACCTTTTCAAAGGCATTAGCAGCTGTTCCAAAGTTCGTAGCAGATTCCACATATGAGACTGAAGACCCTGAAATACCAGTGAAGAGACGAAGAATTAGAACACAGAGATTTGAATCCAGTAGTGAAGATGATCTTCCCGTCAAGGCTAGTGTCAAGAGCATTAAACCTCCACCAGCCATCAAAGCGAAGCCGAACCAGCAGTTGAGCAGGGCAGCCCTGAAATCAAAAGATAAGCAAGCCATTATCGAAAAGCTTAAACAAGCAAAAGCCACTTTAGCGGCTAAGACTAAATCTCCATCTAAAGGTAGCCCATGGAAGGTCAGTATCTGTTAAACTTTTGAAATCAAACTCTGTTGCCAAATTTGTTTTTAACGGGTTGTGGTTTAATGGTTTGTTTACTCAGGTTACTGCCCAGGATAATGAAGTTTCTCCCCAGAAATGTAAGGAAGCTGCTTCTGCCTCATCAACTAGGAATTCTGTGAGAACTCCTGATGTTACTCCCGAGAAATCACAGCAGGCTGCTTCTTCATCTCGGAATCATGTGAGAACTCCTACACCTTTTCTTGAGTCTCCTCCAGCTTCTCAACACAATTCACCTGGACGCTCCACTCAACCCTCTCCTGTGGGCTCTACTCAAGGTGGTGAGACCCATCACGAGGACCTTATGGACTACGGGTTTGAGACTGAAGAAAAGGATGACAACCTTGTATGTAACCTGAATTGAATTTGTTTTTCGATAACTTTAAACTTATCACCAGCATTCTCTAATGTACTTTTTTTCTCGTTGTTTCAGGATACTCCTATCATGACACCATACAAATCTCCTCCCAAGAGGTCACCGTCTAACAGACTTACCCGCTCAAATGCATTCTGTTACTCACCTGAAACTGCTGCTGCCTACACTGCTGACCTACATGCTCGTGTGGCTCGGAAGGCAGATGGCAATGGCACATCAGAGTTGAGGGGGGTTCGCAATCTGTTTCCGTCCAGTCAACCAAAAGAAGGTAATAAATTTTAATTTGCATTCTTTTTATATGCTTAAGTTTGGAGTACTTACCGTGATTGCTTTTTTCAGGAGAAACTGCCTCTTCTCTCGATGACAGACTAAGACGGATTGAGGAGACTCAACATAAGGTCTCAGCTAAATTGGACCTTATGCTAATGAATGTGGGCAGGCTGCACAGGTCCTTACTGCCAGCAGAGAAAAAAATATCAAAGCCACACAACATGCCTGATTTGCCTCTTCGTTCTAAGGAAGATCTAAAAATATATGAGAAATTCCTAGGAGACAGTCCCGCAAATCTGTCAGCAGCAGTAAGTTTTGTTTTTACAAGTTAATAATGTAATCTCTTAAGTCAAGGAAATATTTAACTACTCCCTGACGTCATAAATAAGTCTTCTGATTTTAATACCAAAATGTTCTGTTTATTTTTTTTCTTTAGTGCGATTACATGTCAAACCACATTAAGTTGTCCGTCCCAGACCCTGAGAGGAAAAGTGGTCACGCCATTCTTACTGAGATGCTATCAAACAAATTTGCAGAAGGAATCAATTTAGAGGGAGGCAACAACAAGATTGGGTTTAGGTCCCTGAAATTGTACAAAGTTTATCAAGGTACATTGTATTTTAAGTCATCATTGATAAGATACTTTTTTAGTTTTATTTGATTACAATTCTGCCAATCAGTGCTGTTGACACTTTCTGAGAACTTGTTCTGTTCTGCTTATGCAAGTTCAGCGTGGCAATGTAACATATTACCTGAAATGACTACATTAAATTATCATAGTGACTCATTTTCTTCTGAATATATAGTGAAATGCTTCCTCTCAATTTTATTAATTTTTCTGTACCTTTTAGGAGCTCTGAAGAATGCCTTTCCTGACAGCGACCTTTCTGTTGGAGAAGACGCCCTTCAGAAATGGCTCAAGGACGCCAAATGGAGGAAGGACAGGTCGCGACCAGCGACTAACACCTCTACCATGGTGCCGCAAGGGAAGTCCTCCCGGACTCGAGAGACCTCGCCTAGTCGGTCTTCTCGCCGACCCTCTTCTTCCAGCCAGCATTCTCGCATCTCGCGTAGTCGCTCTCCTCACCGGCAGTCCTCCAGACGGCACCACACCTCCAGTCATTCCTCCAGGGATTCAAGGCGATCTCCAGCCCCATCTATGGGCCACTCTTCGAGGTCCTCAAACAACCACCGTTCAAGGTCCTCCTCAAAAATGCCTCGGTTCTCTTCTAGGGCCTCCAATCCTGCTGCTTGAAGCTTTGCTTCCAGTCTATTGATGCTCTCCATGGTTGCCCAATACTGCAATTTCTGCTCTACACTTGACAGTCCATTTTGAATATTTCAGTTTTCTTCCTATTTTTCTATCTTTTTGGTGGTGCAGCTTGAAGTCTTCATGTATCTCAATGTTGCACTGCAGTAATTTTGTTTTCTTTATATACAATATATCTGTTTGGTAGCTATTCAGCTCAAATAATTTTCAATTTAAGTTAGTACGTAACTTTGGTTGTGCTTATTTGCACGACAGTCAGTTTTTGTTTTATTTTTTAATATAATATTTTTATCTGTTTGCAATGCAATCAAATAATTTTGGATTTAACTTTGTTTTTAAATTTGTTTGTCCTTTGTTATGTGACATGTGATTTTCTTTTCTAGTATGACAACCTACATCTTTGACAGACCACAGACCAGGTGATTCATTGACTTATTGAAAAGTCCTTTTAGTTTAGTAACTTGAGTTTTTAACTTGTTTGAAACCTTTGTCTGGTCTGTCAATATATATGTTAGAGTTTATTTTACTTTACTGAGTCTTGATCTCAAGTACCTTCTTACTCATGTACCTTCTTACTCGTGTACCTACTCGTTTATTTAATAAAATATTTGTTCACTAATGCTGCTCTAAATTACTGTTTGAACCTGTACCTCCTGTATTAACACAGGTATGCTGCGAATTATTTGTGTAAAACTCGATTTAGGGTCGAAACGCTTAGTCGAATCGAAGCCTTAAATCGATGGCTTTTCGATGTCGATTTCGGTGACAAATATCCCTCGATTCGACTCGAAATTTCGACAAATTTTCGATCACCGCCGTCGACGTCGGATCGACATCAATTCGACAATTCATTTTTGGCTGGGCCTTGACGTGTTGTATCACCAACCCGGCCGGATGACCATCAAACAGGCGCGTGTCGGTCGCGTGCGCGCGCATCCTGGCCAACTAGAAGGTACCCAAGTGCCCAATCATCTACAAACGCATTCGTCGCCGTTGTACGACGCCGTTGACGTGTTGTATCACGAAGCCGGCCGGATGACCATCAAACAGACGCGTGTCGGTCGCGTGCGCGCGCATCCTGGCCAACTAGAAGGTAC